AGTAAGGCTCTAAGGCACAGCTAATATAGAAAGCTATTACTACTACTAGTCCCTAGAGAAATCTTTAAGGAAGTTACACTAGACTTTATTACTAGCCTACTACTAGCAAAGGACTCTACTAGTTACGTGTTTAATATAATCCTTATAATAGTATATTACTTCTTAAAGATAGCACTCTATATACCTGCTTTAAAAATATAGGATATAAAATAGTTTATAGAGGCTTACTTTATATATATTATTTTAAAGTTTAGGATCTAGAAAGGTATTATATTAGATAGAGGAGCGATTTTTACCTCTTTATTCTAGACAGAAATCTGCTACTAACTATAGGTAAAGCGCAGGCTAAGCACCACCTTCTATCCGCAGACAGATAGGCAAATAGAATACTAGAACTAGACCCTAGAATAATACTTAAGAATATTTACATTAAGTTCTTAAGAAGACTAGGTAACGCTCCTTGCCACAGCGTAGTTTGCCTACAACAATTTAGTATATAAGTTAATAAAAGTTACCCTATTCTAGGTAGTGTATAGTAAGCATCCCTTACTTACTAAGCCACCTAAGGTGTACGGGTAGGACTAGAGGGGGAGATACTAGACGCGATTAAAAGAGTAAAGCGCATGCATAGCGCAAGAGCAACAATAAAAGAATAGCTAGAGAAAGCACGCGAATATTAGAGCTAATACTACAACAAGAAACACAAGGAAGAAACCTTCTACCTAGGAGATCTAGTACTACTTAGTACTAAGCATATTAACTTAGCTAAACAACCTAGCAGGAAGCTATCTAGCAAGTTTATTAGCCTATTTTAGATATAAGGCGTAGTTAGAACGCAGGTATACTACCTACTCCTTCTACCCTCCTATTATATTTATAACGTATTCTACGTTTCCCTACTAGAACGTTAGAATCCTAGGATAGGAGAAGAGGATAACACCCTCCTACTAGACGTAACACCTAAAGGAGAAGAAGTTTAGGAGGTAGAGAAGATCCTAGGGAAGTAGAAAAGGAAAGGCTAACTACAATACCTACTCCGCTAGAAAGGCTATAATAAATCCTAGGATACCTAGACTCTACCCTTAGACTTTAAGAATATAGATAATATAATTTAATAATATAAACTTAGTAAATCTCCTTACACAAGGAAAGTAAGAAAGGATTATAAGTAACGCATAGAAAATATAGTAAAGAAGTATATCTTCTTATACAGCCTCTAGCCTAAATATAGCCTTAGGCCTATAGGTATCTATAAATATAAAAACGCTAGACACAATTTATAGGAATTGCGCCCTACGCGCAACATACCTACTCCTCCCTAGCGCCCTTGCCCTTAACCGCGCCCTCCTCGCCTTTAGCATCCTCCTTATCTCTACTACTATTACTAGCTTTAGCACTAGCACCCTCCTTGTTATTATTATTACTAGAGGAGCTATTAGTATTATTACTACTATTAGGAGCCTAAAACTAGTTAGCATGCGCCCTATATACGCTTAATAAGCGCACTTACAAGTCTAGCCGCGTAGCCTATAATCTGCTTAAGGGTAGCTATAATGCGACGCTGCTCTACAAGGATTAAGCTAAGGAATTAGGGCGAAGTAGTAGGGACCTAGGTAGCTACACCTAAAGGTGTGCTAGTATAGGCAGTAACGCGGCAGCGGCTTAATAGCTCTAAGTTAAACTAGCGCTAGTAACGCGCAAGCTTAACGCCTATAGCAATTATATTAGCGTCTATCCTTAGAGTAGCAGTATTTATAACTATAGTGTTATAGTTAGCGCAGAGGACGTATAAACAATTTAATTAACTATTTATTACCTAAGGCACCTATAGAAATTAGCTACAGCGCACCTAAAGCAAACTTTTAGTACTAACCTTAGTATACCTACTATAGTTACTAGCAGTGCAGTGCTTATAGCGACAATGCTTAGGTATGTTATAATCCTTTTTCTACTTAGCGATATTTTAAGCGCAGCGTAGGTAGGTTGTAGCTAGGGCTACCTAATCTGCGTACTTAGCTAGCGCGTTAAACGCGTAAGGCTAGGTACTATAGAGGTGCAACTTCTTAATATATTTAGGGTTTAGGTAGTAGACTATATTAATAGGTGTAGGATATATAGTTAAGATGCGTTATAGGTGCTTAAAGGTTAAGGCACGTAGTAGCAAAGTATTTAGTTATTTATAACACATAGAGCTTTAGCCTTAACTAAGTAATAAGTAAATAGTTAACTTTCTACACTATAGTATAACAACGCGCAAGCACTATGCGCCTATAATATATATAACACGCGGAAGGAACGCTTATATAGCATATCTATAGGTTAAACTATAGACACTCTTTTCCTTCCCTAGAGGGTAAGGTTTTTATTAAGGCTATAGGTTGCTGCTAGGGACTGTAGCTAGAGGGGGAGATTCTATAACAACCCTATTGTAAAGACACCTTATAGTGTTCTAGTTAATTAGGTGCATCCCTAGCTAGGTTTAGTGTCTTAGCGCCTAAGCTGTGCAAAACCTACACTTTGCGCAGGGCTTAGGAAAGACAAGTATTATTCTTATATCAATACTATACTAATAGCTATCTCTACACTATTCTATCTGGTGTGAAGCAAATACTATTACCTACAACTAGAACATTATAATATACCTCTATAACACTTATCTTTTTATAAGTGCTTTACACTTCTAAAAGAAGTTAGTAATAGCAACTTAATATATCTTAGTTATATCCTTATCTATAATAATTTAGCTAAGTATAATAACTATAACATGTTAGAAACGTGTTATAAACCTATTCTTAATGCGTACGCTTCTTTTCCTATAAGTAGAAGATTACTATTAGAATCTCTACCTATGCCCTATATAACCTCTTATATAATATATCTATCTAGAACGTGTCTTAATCTAATAGAATTAATACCTACTCTTTAAAAAGGTAAATAATTAAGTTACCTAAGCTTAATATAAAGATTTGCTATATATACGCCTGTAGTAATATATTAGTAACGTGTTCTAAACCTGTTCTCTTATACCACGTATAGTTTTAGGATCCTAATGCTTTATCCTCTACTTATAGTGTACTCCTCTAAGGCTACTCTTAAATAGGAACTATAGAAGCTTTTTACGCTTTATAATACGCAAGATTTTATCTTTATTTATAAAGCTAATATGCATTTCTTTAATAGAATAGAAACCTTTAAGTTAGAGATAGGTTTAGAGCTAGGTTAAGTTTAGGAACTAGGCTATAACAAGTTAGGAACACATTTATAATAGGTTATAAATAACTTATATTATATAAGCTATAGAGTAAGTATAGGCTATAATACCTTTACTACTTCCTTAATATTACTATTAGATAGTGTTAAGGGAGGAGGAGGTATATATATATATATACTAAAAGAAATAATAGCAAAAAAAGGTATTACTACTATATCTATTAGTATAATTACTTAGAAGGTAACTTTATATAGGATTTTAAATAGAGATCCTTGCCCTTATAGATAATTAACGCCTAGAATATGTTAGGAACATGTTAGGAATAGGTTATAATATACCTACTACACTTCTTTATCTAGCTTAACTATAGCTTAACTATAGAATATAAAGCAGGACTACTAGAAAGATTTAATATCTCTCTAGTTAGAAGACCTTATAGATATATAGAGTCTACCTCTAGTAGTACCTAACTAAAATAATATTTTTTCCTAGTAGTAGATATTAGGCTATAGTTCTAATAGCTAATATATAGTTAAGCCTATTCTATAATTTACTAACTTATTATTAATATATTTTAAATATGTTTAAGTTTTGCTCCCTACCTAATTTACTATAGTCCTTATTATAGGATAATAAGATACCTAGTAGTCCTTATAAATCCTTAAAGAGAAGCGCTTAATAAGGCTATAATAATAGCTTCTTATTTATAGTTCTCTTTATAAAATTTTCTTAGGTACTACACTTTTTAAGGTTTAGATCTAATTATATAATGTATTATTAATAACATAATAAGAATATATTTATAACATGTTCTTAAGATACTTACACACTTTTACCCTAGAGCATTAGTATTTATACTAGCTTGCTAGCTAGCTATTAAAGAATAGTAAAGTTGTAGGCCTGTTAAGATAGATAGACTAGCAGGAGTATTATACCTACTAGAATTAGAATAATTTAAGAACGTGTTCTTAACGTGTTACCTATATAGCCTGTATAAGCACCTCTTCTCTTATTAGGTAAGAGCTATCTTTATATTACTAAACTAGTATTATATACCTATACCCTTAGCTATATAATTAAGGGTATACTAGGAGAATAGCTGCATGCTTAATAATTACTAGTATAAGTAGTAGTCCTTAACTATTACTATAAGTAAGGTATATATTATACCCCTATAATATATTACTAATCTATTCTAAACTTATTCTATTTACTTTTACTTACTTCCTTAACGCTACTACTACTATCCTCCTCTAGCACTTTATATAGTTACCTAAATTTATTTCTAATATTACTATCTAGTTTAGATATATTATCTAGTACTACTATACTAAACTCTAGTATAGTATTTAGGAACGCCTATATATTATTAAGAATAGGTTTAGAATATATTTAAAAAAGATAGTAATAAAAACTGCGTTTACTTGCTTAAATTACCCTAATTTATACTTAACTATAGGCTAGTTTATATAACTATAAAAATTTGCCGCTGTGACGTAGACTTGAACCTATAGGGATATTCTAACCACTCGGAGTAAAGCCCAAGTCGCCCGACGCTAAACCCATGGTCATATGACATGCCACCACTTCCTTGACCAACTTAGCCTGCGTCGCGTGCAAGCCGTTCGCGACTCGCGTACTAGAGGGCTGATGACGTCCCTGGCCAATCATGGACGCGCAACGTCCCTACAATGACACCACCACCACCTCCACCACCACCACCTCCTCCTCCTCCTCCTCCTCCACCACGACAGCAACCACTGTCATGTCCTTCTGATCAGCCGACACCATGTGCGGCCGATATGTGCTGGCCTTGGTGAGCACATTTCCTTTTGGGCTTCCCCATTCTTCATCGTGCTGATAGAACGGATCGGCTAGCGGCCATCCGAGGTTTGCCAACAGCTAGAACAGTCGCAGATGCCTGTTGATGAGGTCCCAGACGACAATGATGTGCGTCAAAGCTACAATTTTGCCCCGGGCTATCATGGACTTGTCTACCGAGCAGATGGTCCCGACTCGGGCGGCGGTGAGCATCATCATCATCATCATCATCATCATCATCATCATCAGAATCAGGCTCATCACCAGCATCAAGACACCAAGGATGCGCAGGAAGCAGCAGACATCAACAAGCAAGGTGCGACGCAAGAGACCAAGTACAAGCTGCAGTCCATGCAATGGGGTATGCCATCTCCCCCCACCAAGTATATGTCTCCCAGCTGACCATCACTACCGGATTGGTGCCCTTTTGGACCAAGCGCAACCCCGACTATGGCTCCAAGATGAAGACCATCAACTGCCGAGACGACTCTCTCGTCGAGGATCGTGGCATGTGGACTACCATGAAAAGAAAGAAGCGCTGCATCATTGTGGCACAGGGCTTCTATGAATGGCTCAAGAAGAACAACGCCAAGGATAAGCTGCCGCACTTCTCCAAACGCAAGGATGGCCAGCTCATGTGCTTCGCAGGCTTGTGGGACTGTGTGCAGTTTGAAGGCAAGCCTCATTTCCTTTGTAGAGTACGGGACAGCCGGCCAAAGATCGAGCCTCGCTTGCGAGACAAGACAAGACCGAAACTGACAGCGCTGTTCACGTTGCATTGCAACACCCGAACGCTTCACTGCTACCTAGGCATGCTGTAGAGCAAGCGCACCCAGGTTCTCAACTCGCGTCCCACGTGCTCCCTGGTCTTGTGTTCCAGCCCTGGGCGTACTGACAGCCCACTAGACTCTAGCGAGAAGTTGTTCACCTACACCATCATCACCACCAGCTCGAACAAGCAGCTCAACTTTCTCCACGACCGGATGCCGGTGATCCTGGAAAATGGCTCCGAAGCCATCCGGACCTGGTTGGATCCCAGCCGTACCGAGTGGAGCAAGGAGCTGCAGTCTCTTCTGCGGCCGTTCGAGGGCGAGCTCGACGTCTACCCCGTCAGTAAAGAGGTTGGCAAGGTGGGGAATAACTCTCCCTCCTTCCTGGTGCCGATCCATAGCGCTGCCAACAAGAATAACATCGCAAACTTCTTCGGTAACCAACAAAAAGTCGCCAAAACCAGGCCAGAGCAGCCGGCAATCAGCAAGACTGAGTATGACGTGCAAGACTCGACGACCGACCAGGGTGATGTCAAAATACAACACGACATCAATGAGACGCGTGTAACGACCGACCGCGTGGAGGGATCCGAAGACAACGCCCCTATGCCGATTCCAGCCACAGCCGAGTTGCAGGCTGGCGGGGAGCCAACGAGCATCAAACGAGAGCGGACCGACGAGGATGAGCATGGTAGCACAGCAGCAGACGAGCGACAAGCCAAACGCAGTAAGCCTGCCGCATCTGCATCTTTAATCAAGTCTCCTGCAAAGAAAGCATCAAGACCTGCAAAGAAGCAAGGTACAAGAAGCGCCACGAGTAACGGTAGTGCAGCAAAGACTCCTAAGGCTGATGGCTCGCTGAAGATCACGTCCTTTTTTAGCAACAAGTGAAAGTTGGAACTCTTCTGCCCACATGGCCGGGTCCGACCATGGGCAGCCGTGGGCAGTCATGTGGTCGCGAATGAGCATATATGATCCCACAACGAATGCCCAAGGCATGCAGCGGTGAGGACTGAGGTCGACTTTGGCTTGCTGTTGGTACGCCATACCGATAGCGCTATAGCAGTCGTGCGAGGTCACAGTCCGACATCAAGACCGAGATGGAAGTCCACAAAGTAGGTGAGGGTACGTGGAGAAGGGTCATGAGGTCACAAGACAGGACATGTCCATGTCCACAACGAAAGGCCTGTCGCTCTCTTGTTTAGTTAGATGAGCGATGAGGATACCTAGCCTCCGGGTAGTAGTTACTGTAGTATAGTACTATCGTAGTATGCTGTAAGTAGAAGATAGATCCACAGTGGAGATTGCGGCGCAGACGTTCCCCGCGCTAACGGTGGGGAAGATCGGCCGCGTCTAGAAGCCGAGGGCAAAATCACGGAGAACAAAAATCATGGGGAGGTGACCAAAAATACCCAATAGACCCGCGACACCTCGACCACCTACTCTACAATACGTATCATCAACGCCCTGCGCAACAGCATCCTGCAACCCAACTATTCGAGCATGGCTACTCTCTCTCTCGTGTGAACAGTGCGTCGCCTTTGACCCCGTCTGATCGTCTTGGCGCAGCCCACACCGGCCAGACGCAGTCTTCTCTGTTCTGTTCTGATCTCGTCTGCCTTGCGCCCTCCCCATCATGTAATGACGATCTGACGAAGCCACGGTTCATCAACAAATGCCATACTATTGGGCGAACTTCAACTTCTCAACCTGTGTCTCTCTGGCTCTCTCTCTCTCTCTCTCTCTCTCTCTCTCTCTCTCTCTCTCTCTCTCTCTCTCTCTCCCCTCGCACCTCACCATCTGATGGTCAAAACGACCATTGACTAACCAAGTCTGGATTGTGCACGGCTGTGTGCACGGCTGAACAGTGCTTCTCTCTTCTCTCAACTACAGTTCTGCAACATGGTTTCCAACATGTCGTCCTTGATGGACCTCGTAGCTCAAAACCAACCAAAATTCCAAACACATCAAGCGCTGCTCATCATCGGCATGCAAAATGACTTTCTACTATCAGATGGTCGGTTGCCCGTCAACATCAAAAAGGGATTTCTCGAGCGCATCCAGACTCTCATCCCCAAGTTCCGCGAACTCAACGGGAACGTCATCTGGGTCCAAACACTGTATGAAGCAGATCGCATCTCATCAGACCCAAATACTGGCGAAGGAGATGCGCTGGTGGTCGGCGGCTTGGTCGACGGAGATGAGAGCAGCACGGAGGGAGGCGACGAGGAACCAGCCACACCCGTCAAAGAAGCGGCAAAGGATGTACCGCCGGCACAATCAAGATCTTCAAAACACAAACAACGCGCCCTGGATCTACTAAAACGGGTTTCGGCACGAAGGAAAAATATCCCCCAGGAAGTCGCAAAAGCCACGGCCGAGGAAGATGACGAGTTATTCCTGCTCAAAAGCGAGAAGAAAACGCCGGCGTGTGTACCCAACACGTTGGGTGCCGAGTTCGCTGATGTGATTGCGAGACAGTTTGAGCTGCCGGCTGACAGTGTGATCCGCACGACGAACTACTCGGCTTTTCAAGGCACCAATCTTCTCATGACACTACGAGCAAGACTCGTGACCGAGCTTTACATTTGTGGATGCATCACGAACGTGTCTGTGCTTGCAACTGTCATTGACGCGGCACGCCATGGCGTCAAGATCAACGTGATACAAGATTGTCTCGGATATCGCAAGCAAACCCGTCACGAGCTTGCTCTCAAGCGCATGGACGAGTTCTTCGACGCATATCTAGTCAACAGCGAAGAGATCATGGCCCGGCAACCTCCACTGCCTCAACCTGCCCCATCGTCCCCATCAAACGGCTCAAAGAATGGCTCAAGAGGCAACGAAAAATCCTGTGATCGAACGAGTGGTAGGCTGTCGCAAATCGAGGAAACGCGACCAACATCCCGCACTGCGAGCCCAAGATCGCCTACCGCAAAGGTACTCACTGGCAAACAGCGCACTCTTTCCCTAGTATCAGTGGCTGAAAATCGAAAAGCCGCTCAAAATACTGGTGCCACGACAACCAACCCCACAACAGAGGTCCAGATTGAACCGAGTGATAAGGACTTTGCAGACATGTTGGTAAAGGGTGCGACGGTGCCGGGTACGCAAGAAAATGAGGCAGAGCCCGAGAAGCCGAAGCTTGTACAGACCAAGATACGTATGCGGTCGAAGGAGAAGAGGAAGAAGAAAAGAGAAAAGGAAAGAGAGGAAGCTCCATCCAACGACAAAGCTGAAACGGGAGGTGCAGACGGCGAACTTAGTGTACCAGCGGCAAATGGTTCCCCTATTGATTCACCTACCACGACGACCGCCAAATCACCCCAGGCAACCACTGACTCGCAACGGACATCATGGATTGCAAAAGCGGGGAGTGTGATGGATCTCCGCGAGAAGGGGAATAGACCGCAATCTCTGAAGAGCGCGGCTTCTGTACCTGTATTGTCTAACAAGAACGAGGAAACGGACAGGAACCGGTTGTCCGATCTTTCGGGCCGTGTGCGTTTGTCGTTATCTAGGGCGCCCAAATCAGAGTCTTCTGAACCAAAGAAGAGTGCGGGGACTTCTTCTACGAAAGGCCCTATTACACTTGCATCTACAAAGAAGGGGGAGAAGCAGGCTGATCAGTCTGCCTCCAGCTTGAAAGAGGAGTCTCCATCAGCAACCCCTGCACCCATGGCAGAGACTTCTGTAAAGTCTGTCGATGTGGAAGAGTCAAGGCAAGGGTCCTCAATACTCTCGACGCCAACCGGTACGCCGAAAGTAAAAGGCTCGAAACTACCCTCTCTCGCTACCTTGCCTGTGTTAGGACCTGACGATACAATCGGTGAAGGCGATTCTCATATTATATACGACTTTTTCCCTCCAACGCTCTGTGATCCCATTGGCTCATCTTATCCTCTGAAAGACCACATTTTCAAACAACTCTTCAATGAAGTCCAATGGCAGAGGATGTTGCACCAACAAGGCGAGGTCCCGCGTCTTGTTTGTTGTCAAGGTGCTTTTGGAGACGATGGTTCTATGCCAGTGTACCGACATCCATCCGATCAAACACTACCGCTCCTACACTTTTCGCCCAAGGTGCAGCTCATCCGTCGACGAGCAGAGAAGATTGTCGGCCATTCTCTGAACCACGTATTGATACAGCTGTATCGATCAGGCAGCGATTACATTTCTGAACACTCGGACAAGACGCTTGATCTCGTGGCCGGGTCCTCCATTGTCAACGTAAGTTTCGGTGCTCAACGTACCATGCGGCTACGGACGAAGAGAGCTTCCATCCATCCTACGGCTACGCCCAACAGCTCCCCAACCAATCCATCAGATTCGACAAAGGAACGTATAACGCAACGCATACCCCTTCCTCACAACTCCCTCTTCACCCTCGGTCTCGGAACCAACGCTTCCTTCCTCCATGGCATCATGCCAGATAAGCGTGCGCCGTGCGACCGTAGTCCTGCTGAGCTGGACTACGATGGGATACGCATCAGCCTTACTTTTCGCCATGTCGGCACTTTCATCGATGCCAGTGAAACCATCATTTGGGGGCGCGGCGCAACATCCAAGCAGCAGCGCGATGCAGCCGATGTCATCAATGGGGACGCCGAGGAAAGCGAGAAGCTAATTCGAGCCTTTGGGAAAGAAAATGCCGGGCTTGCCCAAGGTAAAGACGCGTGGCAAGACTGCTACGCTTCCGGAAGCGATGTTTTGCACCTACGCTCTGTACCCCAAGGACACGCTTTGCCCCTGCTATTCCTCTCCGGCAACGAAATCGAGGACAAACAAGTCCAGATCTGCCTCGCCGAGGCCAAACTCAACGTCACCGTCATTCCCGCTCCTGCACTCGACTCGACAACGTATGACAACGGCACACGCACCGTCTTGTTCAGAGACACCGATCCCCATCACACAGAAGTCCTCTCTCCTTCCTCCATCCTACCCTACATAGACCGCTACCACCCACTCGACACATCCCCACACAGCCGCCCCTGCACCGCCCGCGCCCACGCCCTTCTTCATACCATCAACGCCCTCCTCACTGCACACCGCGCCAGCCACACCTGCAATCTAGCCATCCACCTAGCCACGCTCGAAGAACAACTCTCAACGCACTCGGGCCCCTTCATCGCAGGCCCAAAATTCAGCTTCGCGGATGCGGCCGTCTGGCCCGTTCTTCACGCTCTGGCTCGTGCTGGTGCGGATCGTGCCGAGGAGGGCGGAGATGGGATGCCAGGGGCTGGGTTTTTGGGGTTTCCCTGTTTGGAGGAGTATTATAGGGGGACGTGGAGGAGGAAGGCGTCTGTGAGGAAGGTTGAGGAGGGGTTGGTGGAAGTGGGGAGGGAGGGTGAGGGTGAGGATGTGGGTGCTGGGATGGAAGGGCGGGAGGGGGAGGGTGGGGTTGAGGACAAGGCGAAGGCGAAGGCGGTATGAGATGGGGTGGAGGATTTCAAAAGTCAAAACGTATTATCCCAGATTTATCAGGTATTATTGTTGCTCATGGGTATGCTGGTAGTGTTTGGGATTTTTTTTTGTTTCGGTGGTCTGGTTTGTTGGGTGGTTTGCTATATCTCGTTTCGTATCGTATACGGTCATGAGACTTTTGTATCTTGTAGGGTATCTTATACATGACGTAGCTTGTATCGTAGCTTGTATCGTAGCTTGTATCGTAGCTTGTATCGTAGCTTGTATCGTAGCTTATATTGTATGTAGTCTCTTATGTGATATACTAGGACATGTAATCTGCTATATGGTATTCATCCTTGAGTGCACAGTCTTTACTATTGGCTTTTTGCCATCTTCTCTCTACTATCTGCTTTCTGCTATTCCATCACCCCAATCTAGTCTAGCGATGTCTATTTAAGGAATCTCTCAAATCTCAAAGTACACTCCTCGCCCTGTGATAGACTAGGGTTTTTTTTTTTTTTTTTTTTTGCGAGGGGTGTGGGTGTGGAGTTTACTTTTGACTATTTCTTATTCACATTTTTACTTTCCCTCTTCCCTTTTTTTTCCTCTTCCCTTTGTTCTTCTTTTCTCCCGTCTGTTGTTTTTACTCTTCCCTTTTTTTTTCCCTCTTCCCTTTTTTCTTCTTTTCTCCCGTCTGTTGTTTTTACTCTTGCCGTTTCCAGTTTCTTATCTCCCTATTTCGTAATCACGCTTCTACTTTACCTATTTACTTTTTAGTTCTCTCTTATCCTTTGTTTTTTTGCTTTTCCTCTTTTTTCCCTCTGCTTTCCCTTTGGAGATTCAAGTAGCCCTGGTGTTGCAACGGGATTGTACTGCGAGATGAATATCGGGGTTGGCGGGGGTGGTGGAGGTGATGGGAGTGAGGGTGGGGGTGTTTGAGTATGTGTGCGTGTGGATTGGAGTGTATGCTGTAGTGCATGTATGTATGGATGTTTATGCATAGGATACTGGGTTGCTTATGTGGAGATATTGGGGGGTTGCGTTGGGAATCGTGTCAATCACCACTCCAACCTCCCTGTCGCTAAACCCAAACTTCAAGTCGAGGCGAGTTGGGAATTTCACTGGGTAATAGGGATGCTGGGACTCTGGGGCGGTGTATTTTAGGGGTGCGATTTATCGGTCCGAGTATGAGTTGATGTCCCGTATACTGGGGAAGTTGTTGCGGTACTGGCGTTTTGTGGGAAGGGTTGGGATGGGTCGGATGGCTGCATATTGCTGTGGGGTTGTGCGCAAGGGATGGAGGCGGTTGGAGTTTGTGTTTGTGGGTGATGATGGTATTCATTTGGGGGATTTGACGGTTGGGGTGTTGGAAGGTGTATGAGGACATTGAGATGTAGGCAATATTATCGTGCGGATAAGAATTGGTATGAGATTCTGCTCACTGTTGAGTCCAAGGTCTACCGTGTATCCTTCCGTCTCCAACCTCAGCGTAATGGCAACATATCTCACTGAGCTTGCTCTAAAAAACCGGCTCCAAGTTGTGCAATATTAACTTGTCTTGTGGGTCCGTTAACTATCGTTTCATGTCCAGCAATCTGCAGACTGCAAGCACTACCCGAGCAGCGCAAGCCACAATCACCGCGTTGATAACAAGAAACGTTTCAGTAAAGAATTAAGATTCATAAAATTAAAGTCATGACGTAGGGTCCGTAACGAAAGTGTAGCTGCCCCAGCGCGGGGAGCTAGCATTTCATCCCCTGATCAACATCTCAGCTCCAGCTCCTCGCCTGGCAAAACCATATACAATCTGAATAAAGTATGCGCAAATAATCTCCAATCTGCCTCAGCATGAGACACCTCAGAGCAATGAGAAGTTACTGCAACCACAATCCCCCAAGGCCATCTTAGTACATGGGGTCAGCGAAAGCCTTGACGGAAGCGGTGCATACACCATCTACGCAGTATCCGACAGGAGTGATCCATCCCCAAAATTCTGTCCGTCGTTAGAAAGATGTTTTGCGATGGTAAATTCATCGTGGAAAAGACCTACCAAGTTGTTTACCGTTCGAGAAGATTGCTTGAGCCATGCCGGTGATGGTGCCTGAGCAGGCCTGAGTACCAGTGATGTAGGTGCACGTGATCGTGAAGGGAGCGGTGGCCGTCAGGGTAGGTTCGAGATTGCCGTAGCAACGACCATGGTCACACCAAGCCTCAATGGTGGTGACTGCACCATATGAAGCACCGTCGACGAGGAGGTTTGCAATCGTTCCGGCAACGGAGATGCTGCACTTGTAATCAAAACTGCAAATACCAGACACTGTCTGTTGTTAGTCGCTATTCGTGTTCAAGGATGAAGAAGCCACTCACTGAGCCCGTATACGGCACCAAGAACGCCGGACATGGTCTGGTCAAGCACGGGTGGAAGAGCAGGCAAGTTGGTGAGCGAAAGGACACCCTTTGCCGCAGGGCCAGCGAATGACGACGGGTACAAGCTCGTGTACGCGGCGGAAGCCGCGGAAGTAACGGTAGTAGCCGCTACTCCAGTGGTTGTGGTAGAAGATGCCTTGGCCGTAGCGACGGTGCCTAAAGATGATGTTTTAACGAGGGTTGAATAGGGTTGAGCCAGTGTTGCGACTGCAACAGAAGATGTCTTCTTCGTACCAGCAGATGAAACTTTGGGGAGCGTACCTCCAACAGCCAAAAGAGTCGAAGAACCAACCGCGACACCGAGCAGAGGACCGCTCGAAGTACCCAGGTTCAGATTAACACCGAGACCAAGGAGAGCATCACGACTCTCGATCTTCTCGGCAACTGGAGAGTCAACGATTGGAGCGGCAGCGACCAACCCGCTGAAAACAGTGATGATACTGAGGAACTTCATCTTGAGTGATTGACCGGGGGGAGCAGGCTCAAACAGTGAGTGAATGATGCTAATGAGAGCGAGAGATCAAGAGCGAAAGTCAAGCTGAGAAGCTGGAGCTGAGGATGCTGAGGATGGTGATTTCCATTCCACAAGGAATTGCCTGGTCTTTATACAAAGCTCGCGATATCAAATGTCCCTACGTCGGGTCCCTGAACATGGTTCCTGGTGGCAGAGCTTGGTGTTGGTTCTCGAACGCGGGACTGAACCATCCCGAAAGCCTCGTTTGTACCATATCCCTGATCACAGCCCCTGTTCTAGGACCCATATCTGTAAGTGATGTTGGAGTGTACCACCAAACAATCTCATGCACGCCATGTCCGCAGAAGCCAGCCTGCTTTGGGCATAAATGCTGCCTGATTGGCTCGGATTCCATCTACGGGTAGTTACCTCACACCTTAAAAGATTCCAATTATCGGGTGCAATCTTCCTGTCAGCGCGCACTGACGGCACGACACATTGTAGGCTCGATCGAGAATACTTGGGTCAAAACTGTCGAGGGACTTGGCATCTCCTGCGGCTTGAAACATCGCACTCGCTGTATGCTTGGACAGCCTCGTCTAGTTAACGTTCGGATAGGAAGCCAGAGCTCAACCACCAGCCTGGATACAGGTCTCATGGATGGATCTAGATCGGAACAAGGTTTGGGGTTAGCGCCATACACCAGACGCCTCGATGTATTCTTCGCTGATTACTCCAGTAGCGCACACTTAATCATCCTAGTAGTCCTTGGATCTTGATTCAGAAGTGATCTCATCATACTCCTGTGAACTGTCGAGGAAAATACCTAACACCTCATCGTCGTTAGACAGGCTGAAAGCGATCTTACGAGAGTTCCTCAAATGAAGGCTCCGACCGAGTAATTTCAAGACAGTACTATAACTATATTCTGGTTCGAACTACAGTCCGTGCTGTGTCGAGTCACTGTCTCCCTTGATGGCCGACACTTGCTGGTCCCTGCATCAGCATGCGCGCCATGTATCTCTGTACAACAACGTATGCGATGGGGTGATGAAGCATAATGTAGTTCACTTAAATCATTCTGAGGCCCTGAGTGCAAGAGGGTTTGTGATGAGCGAACAACGGTGCCTGTTCACGCAGGAACCAGACCATCAGGACGTTGGCCTCACCCATCCAGGGCCCACCTGGTCGTCATGACAGACGGACAGGACGTTATGATTAACGTACCTTGGAACGGGAGTGCACGTTTCGATCTTCACAGGGGTTCTTGATTAGGAACTGACTGATCGCCATTCCAAGATGGGCAAGCGGCGGGGTACCCCGAGCCAGGATAGTGAAAGACTGCGACTGAAAGCCATGCAGATGCAGGGTCTACCCCGATCTGGATCCTGATCACCCGATGAGTAGGTACCATACATGAATATAGCGAGGTACTTCCGGGAGCTATACTTGCACCCGCAAGAGACGGGTTGGCAGCCATAACATGTACCTACTCGTGGGCATCCCTCGTGGCTGCACGGCATATGTATAACAATGTCTCTAGCCAAATGGGCCAACTAAACGCTAACCATGTTTTCCAGTGCACCTACACCATCGTCATTGCACCTGCTCCCAACTGAAAGGAGGCTTCCGCAAAGCACCGGCGTTCCGCTTGGACAAATATTTGGCAGCGATATTCTCCGATCGTCAGATTCAGGTGAGAGTGAGCACTATCAAGCACGAGGCCCAAGGTATCGGGGGACGGTGCTATGGCCATCAATACTTGCGCTCTTGAACTTAATGAGCAGGAAGGTGCCGGGGGCCTGGGTACCATGATTACTACCCCATGGGGCATGACAGCAGTGAACGCGTAGGATGACTTATCAGATGTGGACTCGATCCAACTGGCTCGAACTCTCTGATTTCACGATGTTGCTGGATCGAGGCCGCGGATATCTGACAGAAGAGAAAGCTTGGTCGGATTACCGACATCTAATTCTACAGCGCGACCATTAAAGCTATGGGAGTATTATGGGAGTATTACACAGAGTACAAAACCAGGTCAGACTACGAACCATCACCAGGAGCATACAATTCTAAACCATCCGTCCCATCATCGCACACTCCAAAGCGGTCCTCGAGACTCATACCTGGCTCCCCATCCCGAAAACAAGCTGTATTAGCTGTCGCATACTTCCTTAGTGCGCTCCAATCTTTGCACTGATGAATCTGTCCATTTCCAGACATGCCATCACCAATGCCATATAGCGGAGTATCATCCGCATGGCACATGATATGCTGACGTAAGGCGTCATAGCAGTGAAGTGCATGAAAGATTGGATACTTGAGCTCTGTCTTGCGATGCAAGGCAAGCATGGTTGATCTCACAATTCGCTGTACAATGTTAGAATGTCTATACAAGATGGTACTATGGCGGTATACTTGCTAGACAGTGAAGTTGATGGTAAGCTTGCAGGAGGTATAATCCCTTCCCGGGTTGGCCTGGAACATCCATCGATGCAGTCCACTGGGAGTCAATCGTCAGTTTTTAAGTCATTTCGATGGGTGCAAGACAGGACTTTGCTTACATTGTTTGCAGCTGCCCACTCATGGTCCACAGCAATGTGTCCATGCGCAGTGTTGATATTGTCCCATAGCGTATCTGCCCAAGTGGCATTCGGTGCACCCCATGGCGTTTTCCAATGAAATGGCACATAGGCTGTAGGCAGATTTTCTGCCCTTGCAACTCCAGCTGGTCGGTCATCGGTGCCGACAGACGCAGCCGTCACATTGAGGGTAGCGACTCCAGAATCGGGTGTCTCCATCGCCATGGTCCTTGCGGCACGCCACAGATGGATGGAAAAGAAGAGAACGCATATGTTGGTCAAGGAGACTACTGCGAGTAGTGCAGCCCAAAATGTGCGTGAATAACGCGACCGTGAATCATGGACAGTGACTGGCGTTAAAGTGTGGTGGTCGGCCGACGCCACCAGTTTGTACTGGCTGGTCATTGCGTAGTGGTGATATGGGAATTGTATGAAGAGCCTCGGGAAGTGTTCTACGAACACATGGCAGCAGCCCCGTCTGTTATTACTGCGACATGAAGGGGTACTTCGTCTAGAGGAGCCTCGGATGCGCGTGCCCCAGACCTAGCCTACGATTAAGGTTCATTTGGTGGGCCCGAGAGGGTGTGGCTGCCGCATGCTTAAACTTCCGATCGTCACAATAGCGAGGCTTGACTTAGCCAGATCGGCCCAGCCTCTTCGCATCTTTCAGGGGACAATTCTAGATCGAGGGCAATGGCAGTGCTGGAGGTCTGGATAAGTTCAACTTAGAGTTTCGATTTTGGCATCTACCGGTGACCGCCGCTAAATGGGTATGTGTTCCCGAAACATGCAAGCCTGGCCATGGACTTCGTGAATCGTTGATCCGCGCAAGGTCTCGGAAAATTGTGGGAGCCATCCAAACTACTGGTCCTAGGTGCCTTGTTGGACAGGTACGGGAAGACTTGTATAAGTGCACTGTTAGACCTTGTTGTCTGAACTTCATCCAGCATCCAACATTCTCTCGTTTCTTGTTGGCCACCCAAGATGCCTTCTTACACATACATCAACCTCGACTCGTGCTTTGCTACTGGCATCGTACTCGTTGTTCTTTCTGTACTAACGGTTGTCTTGAGACTATTCCTGCGATGGAGGTCTTCAAACAAGCTGAGAGACGTCATCTGGAGCAAGCATATTGATGATCTCTTCTGCGTTCTTGCACTTCCACCAACAATCGGTGTCGCAATAGTGATGATCTATGGTAACCAATGGGCGCGCTGGGCTGTTTTTCAAACTCCCAACTGACGATTATGTTTAGGGTCTAGTAAAGGCGTCTTCGGTGGTCACAATGATCCTACTCACATTGAGGGATGGATCTTCAGCACTACACCAACCCTGGTAATTTTGGAGAAGGTTAGTCTCAACGCGTGCTAAATCGTTCAAGTCTACAGCAGCTAATTCCTATATAGATGGTGTACATCATCTTCATCATGCAGCCGCTAGCTCTTGGCTTCATCAAGCTAGCTTTCCTGTTCTTCTACCGACGTATCTTTGTGTTCCGCTCGTTCCAGATAACCTCGTTGATCTTCGTGATCCTCACAGTCATGTGGATGATAGCCTTCTTCCTTGGCTTCATTTTCGACTGTCGTCTGAACTTCTCTGCCAACTGGGGATCGCTTGCTAGCATTGGCGAAAACTGCCCCTTTGGATTTGAGGCGACGATTGCCTTCACAATCACGGATGCTATCTTTGATTTGTGTATTCTGGTGCTCCCATTGCCCTGGGTCCGTACCATCAATGTCGTACAGCTGTGGCAGCTTTACTGATTCTACCATTAGATCTGGAAGCTCCAAATGCCCAACACCCGCAAAGTTCAGTTATGCGGTGTGTTCCTGCTCGGAGGCTTCGCCGTCGCAGCCGCCATCATTCGCATGGTTATTTGTATCGAGCAAAACACGCCTAGCAGTATGTGTCGCCTACTCAATCCTGTTCAGAACTTTGCTAACTGCGTATTCCAGATGCTGTGGATCAACAATACATCATGGGCATGCCCACTTGGGACATCATCGGCATCACCTCCCACGGTCTCTACTGGACCGTAGTCGAGACCAACGTTGCCCTTATCGCCTGCTGTCTCCCCACTCTTCGACCCATCCTCAGCATGGCAGCTTTCGGCACCGTCCTCGCTTCATTTGGATCCTTTCTCCAGGGTCTTGGGTCCAAGATGGGCTCCAGCAAGGGAACTACGCAAAACTCTACCGGCTCAAGTGGCACCGGCAAGTTCAGCAAGTTCTCCGCTGCTTCCAAAAGCAGTGTAAGCAAGAAGAAGAAGCGCAACAACGACTCCCTCGACGATACCGCCAGCGATGTCAGCCTCGTTGAGTTGGAGAAGTCTAACGGTGTTCGGGTCGCGCACGGGGTGGCTGTCTCGCACGAAAATTACAATGCATTTGACTTGGAGTTAGAGGAGAAGAAGTACTCGGGCAACGATGCTCGTACATCTGCCGTGTAAGATCATGTAGAGGAAGTTTTGGTGGAGGGTTTGTTATTGCATTTGCAAAGCAAGCGAGTCAGCAATTCTATGATTCTAATTTGACCGCTATTACCTACCTGATGACGAAACGATTACATAGTAATTAATACCTATTACTCTCCAAGCGCCTTCAAGTTTTCTATCTCGAGTCCTCTCTCCAGAGTCCTCCATTTTCCTTCCGTGCAAAGAGGGTCGATTAGGTCACAGCTTACAATTCGTCGTTGCAATGACATCATGGGCGTCAATTAAACATCGACCTACCTGTAGTTAGTGCAGATGCTGGCGTTCCCCTAATGTATACAAAGTGTGTCGCGCTCGAAGCTTAACCACTCAATCCTACTCAGTTGTCATGTATTAGGTTCCATGGCCTGTAATACTACTATCATAGGAGCTACGTATAGGGGTGGGTATGCTCTTTCGAGGGCCGCTGGTCCAGATTTACTGAGTATTTTTGGTAAAGAATCCAATATCGATATCAAAACAGTGTATCCTGGCAGGGTTTATCGACTGCGCATATGGTTTATAGTGAGCGCAGTATGGTAGTGTGCTTACATTTTATCCCTCGAAATTTAGGTAAGTAATGTCATGATAGACGATATTTGTCTCCATCCATCTAGCGTACGGTAATATTTCAGTACTCCTGAACGCAGGGTCACTAGTGGATATCAAACATTCCGAAATTATAGCTTCCAATCAACATGACAAACTGGGTGTCCTTCCTTTGCGCATGGTCTTTCTCTCTCTAGATTAGTCTTCGGAATTGATTTGCCTGCATCTGCCTAAGTTTACCTTTGACCTCTTCCAGCTCATTAAGAGCTTCTAGATAACTTTTAGTACCTTCCAAAGCTATACTTTGGTACACATGCAAGACGCAGCCGAGAACCAGCCATTCCAGTAGCATATATGCTGGTTACTTTGTTGGCTCTCCTATACCTGGTGCCCAATGAATACATGTGCCTTAGCGTCGGGTCGAACATGTTCGATGGCACTTGCACATGTGTAGTTAGCTGACCGATGTGCATGCAATGAGTCTGGGAGGGGCTGGAGACATTGCTAGTGTCCGCATGGATCTTCCTCACCAGCTGCGAGTCATTGATCCAGAGACACTAGAAACACCTAGATTTGGTGTGCACCCCCCTAGGTCCCCCAACTCTGAACATGCCAGGGTTGGACATGCAGTCAATTATAGCATCTTGAGGGAATAACAGTGGAGCAGAGCGTGTTGCGCCTATGTCTTCACGTCTTTTCATGGTCGTAAAATTACTTCGTTTCTTCGAGAGTACTGTGCAGGACATTGCTGGAGTTGATGTACTTGTGCTTGCACGCTACACATACCGGTATGTCTTTTTGGCCTATCTTCTCCTTAGCGCATTCAAGCCTACCGATAGTCCCTCGAGCATTTAACCCATGTATACTCTCCACGGTATCAGTCCGTCTGCGACTCTTCCAGCTCTGATATCTATACGTCTTTGGAATTGAAGTCTCCTTGACGCTTTGGAGAAGCGAGTAACGTGACAATTCTCATCCACAGACCTTCCACTAGGATCAATCTGATCCATTTGTCTTATGTTACGCAGACTGGCTTGCCTGCCTCTAGTACATGGTATAAAGGATAACATGCGGGCCGTTTTGGATTTTTATTTGGTGGGAAGATGACTGTGGGAGATACGAATGTGCTTTGGGGTATCCTTTCTCTATGCGGGATTTGAGCTCCAGGTTACACGTCAATCACTCTTACTTAATTATGCATAGCGACTTTACTTTCACTTGCAGTAATGTGCCCAAAGGAATCACATTATCATTTGTATATCCATAACCATAAATGGGCAGAGCATTGCGCAGGCCGATGCACCAACTCTAACTCAATCAATTCGGTTTGTCAGCAATAGACTGCTTCAACTTCTCATACCGAGCCTTCCAAAAAGATGCATCCTATTCAGCTGCCCTCACCATACTTTCAGAAACCATGAGTCTGACATTGGAGTCGAACAATTTTATCCGTAGCTGACCGACACTCTGCTCTTCCGACCCTTCCGGCCCATCTTCTGTTCCCGATTTGATATTTTCCATGATGCTCGGCTCAGGTTTCAATCTTGGCACTTGCTTGTCTCGACGTTCACGAAATTCCTGCTGCACTATCTTCACACGCGCCTGGGAAGTTTCACGAGCGGGTTCAGAATTGCGGATGTTTGTCCCACGGCCAGCTCTGTTGGTCCTGATGCCCTGTAAGGTTGTGGGTGGACTGGAAGACGGACTGCTGAGAAATTCGACCTGAGAATGTTGTACCGAATCATCACCGGTTCCCTTCCTTTTGTGTGGAAATCTTGTCAGAGTACCTATTGAATAAAGTATCAGCCATCATAGTTCAACATAGTGAAATGGATGCACTTACCACCCTACAAATCAACGTCATTGTCTTCATCAACCCTCGTCTTCACTTTGCACTCTCCCTTGATCGTCGGTCGCGACTTTCTCGCAAAGCCTGCTGCACTATCTTCACACGCGCCTGGGAAGTTCGCAATGAAGCGCTCAAAATCCTCCTCTACAGATCTGGGAAGACCTCGGAACAAGAGGAAATAGCGCACAGAGCTTCAAACCGCGCGACGGAAGTGGCGCTCTTGTTTATCAACGTGAAGCAAAACGGCTCGAAGAACCCGATTTCTTTTGTAGAGTCCTTCTGTAGATCTAATATCTCCATAGAATCGCTGTTCGGTCGCTTGTATCCCACTATGATACTAGAATCTGAAGGCCAGGTGATTACATCGATGGGCTGTCGTGTCTTGCTAGTTTTTCCTTCCTATGACGAGGCTTTCAATGATCCATTTATCTCCTATGGCATAATCCAACCGAAATCTGAAGTTGCCTACGCCTCGAAGTGATTTGTATTGGGAGGGGAATTGTTCTTCTGCCCACGCCTTGATGACTGTTGGTAGGCTCCATGACGGTGAACGAGTATGTCGATTTTAGAGAAGAAGTTTCAGATAGTTTACAAGCTGCAAGCGACCAAAAGTAATCTGTAGTCACCAGCATAGATCAAGTCACTGTGACTTGGCGTATAAACTCATGTTCAACCTCACCCTCACTCACGATATCGTCTAACCGTGAATTGAATACATAGCTGCGCCGCGTATTCTTAAATCATCATCACGACTGCACTTGTACACCTGTGCAGGCTTTTCATAGAAGTTGGGCTGTGCCATTCGTCACTTCCCTCATTCGGACTATCATAACCGTGTATGTGGGTGCGAGTATTGAGATGTATCAATCTTGAATGTGTAAGCGATTTCGTGTTGTTTCTTCTTTGTGCAGGCGCTTATATTGATCGCACTGATATCTTGCTCTTCTTGAATCATACCGAGTGCCACCTAATTGATATGTATGGCTGTGTACCGCAACTCTTTTCCAGAGCTCACTACGGTAAAAAATTGTTTACTGTAGAATGGTACGCTAGGGGTTTACTATATAGCTGTAAACTGACCTTGTGTATACCTGTAAATAGGTTTAAAGTGGTGGTTT